CCAGCCTCATGGACTGAACATCTATTGGATGTTTGGACCTCCCATTGGTTGACAGCCATTGTTGGACAAGCTGGACCACAGCCTGTATGTCACTCTAATAAATCCCATATATGTATGTGTATATACATGTGACATATGTATATATTCCATCATAACACACACACACACACACATAAACAATTCTGTTCCTCTAGAGAATACTGACTAATAGAGCTTTTGCTGCCAGTCATTTTGGTATGATGTCTCTGTGTGGGCCCCGAAGTTCAAGCTTTCTGTCTACCCTGGGCATTCCCCATCTGGAGAGCAGCATCCCAGTAGGGTGATAGCTGTCACTCCCAGCTCTGCCTCCTGAGGGGTCATCACTGTTTCTTCTCTTCCCAAGCCACGGGGAGCTGTGAGTGTCAAAGGGCTTCTCGGAACCAAGGATGGCAGGCAGGTCAGCGTCCACTAGGCACTGAAGGACTTCAGCCCTGCTTTCCAGGAAGAACCTTCCATCCCGCTGAGGTCTCCACAACTGTCTTCCCCAAGGCCTCTCCTCATCCCCATGGTATTGCCCATGATGGGATCTTCTGAGCCTCAGCTTATCACACCCTAGTCAAAGCCAGCCATGCCTCAAAGGATGTCACCACCAGAGGCCAGGACAAGGCAGTGAGTGATCCAGGTAGTTCAAGGGGCCATCAGGTCATGTTTGGGGCTGTGAGAACCACAAGTGTCAAGTCACTGCTTTAACTTCACTGTGTCTCCTCCTCCCCTTCCTCCTCCTCCTCCTTCTCCTCCTCCTCTTTTTTGGTTTTTTCAAGACAGGGTTTCTCTGTGTAGCTTTGGAGCCTATCCTGGCACTCACTCTGGAGATGAGGCTGGCCTCGAACTCACAGATATCTGCCTGCCTCTGCCTCCCAAGTGCTGGGATTAAAGGCGTGTGTCACCACCGCCCGGCCCACTGTGCCTTCTTAAGCTCAGTCCACACTGGCTAGTCACCAGCCCAGAGACAGAAGCGCAGGAGAGATGGTATTAAAGAGGAGGGGCCTGAACCCAGATGGGACCCCAAAGGTATGGATTCCGTCCTGTAATAGTGAATGGTAACTGCTACCAAGACAGAACCTGGAGTCACCTTGGAGGAAGAGGAAGGCCCCTGAGCATACCTGTGGGAAACTTTAATGTAGAAAGAGCCATCTTAATTGTGGGCAGGGCCACTCCCTAGGTTGGAGATTCTGGCCTGTTTGAGACCCGGGGTGAGCTGAGCCCTAGCATGCTTGCAGACATGATGTGACCAGCTATCTCAAGCTCTGACTTCCCCAGCATGGCGGACTGTCCCTTGAACTGTGAGCCCAAGCAAACCCTTCCTTCCTCAAGTGGCTTTTGTCAGAGTATCTTATGAGAGCAATGGGAAAGGAGAATAAGACACCCTCCATTTCCTCCCATTTCCTGTAGAGCCTTCTGGCTTCATGCTTGGCCGTAGAAGACTGGGAAAGTTGGGGTGGGCATCTGAGCCCTGACTCTGCTTGGAGGGCTGGGTGTGAAGGCCTTAGGGACTAAGAGCTGAGGCTTTGAACAGATGGGGCACAGTAGCCCTTGAGAATGTGAGAAACTGACTTAGTCCCATTCTGTACTGCCCTCCCATGTAGACACAGGTGCAGTCAGGTGAGTTTTCTGGAAAAAGATGTTTTACACTGGTCCGTTTATTGTGTGTGCACATGTGTGTGTGCATGGGGTCCATGTGGAGGCCAGAGAATAATCTGAGGGAATTGGTTATCTCCTTCTACTATGTGGATCTCAGGGGTCTAACTCATGTCATCAGGGTCCACAGTAAGTGCCCTAATTGCTGAGCCATCTCTCTGGCACCTAATCAATGGTTTCTGGTTGTGGTTTTGATACAGGGCCTCCTGTATCCCAGGCTGGCTTTAAGCTCTTTATGTGGCTGAGGATAGCCTTGAACTTTCGATCCTCTTGCCCCCATCTCTCAAGTGCTAGAAATAAAAGCATGTACCAAGCCTGTTTTTTGCGGTATTGGGGATCAAGCCCAGGGTTAGACAAGATTTCACCAACTGAACCACACTGCAAGACCCAAGGAATGTTTGGGAACTTAGTAAGACGTGTCTGGGAATAGTTCCAGCCCTTCCTTCTGCGTCAGCAGATATTTGTCGCCTTTTTGGCTTTGCCTGAAGCGAGGGGTGTGTGTGTAGAGAAGTCCTCTGGGCTCTTAGTTCTGTTCCAAACCTTGAGAATCAGAAAGGGTCCCACATGGGCCACAGTCTCTTCTGTCTTTTCCCAGCCACCCAGAGCTGTTCTTTGAGGACCTCAGCTCCTGGGCCTTGTGGCCTGGGTTCTTTTTGTCTTCCGTTGGATAGGAACATCTCAAAGGTAAAAGCTGCCTCTCTTGGGATGGGGCTCTTAGGTAGGAGGGGTAGGGGCCTAGTGGTGACTCCTGGAGTCAGCTCTGGAGCTTTCCATCACCTGGTCCCTTGAGACATCAACTTGATCCTGGGAGAGTCAGTTTCTCAAAGTATTTGTTCCCCAGGAGCTACTGGTGTCCACAGGACTGAATTCTTGACCACTGGTCCAGCCAGACAGCCTGCTTTCCTGGACCAGAGCCAGTCAGGGCTGAGGTCTGCTGCCTCCCTGGGCTTGGCACCCATCCCTGATATGCTTCTCTTTGGGGCTGGGGAGGAACCCCTAGCCTGGCAACTGGGTCATTTCCCAGGACCCAAGGTTTCTTTGCAAGGTTGGCACAGCCTGTTACGCCCCTCAGGGGGTTGGCGCTTGTCACTCTCCTTCACTTGGACAAGCAAAGGAACAGAATTAGCTCTCCACTCTCACTCTTGAAGCTCTCCAGGCAGTCAAACCATTCCAGTGAGGGACCAGAGAGGTTTCCTGGGAATATGCCCAAGGCCTTTTCCCTGGTTCCTCTGGGAATCGATCCAAAAGAAGGAGAAGAAGAAGAAAAAAGACCAAAAGCGGGGTGCTGTTATGTGTATGTGTTCTGGGAGCATGAGGCTCCATCCTACCACCAAGAGAAACCATTTGCATTCCGGGAATCCCAGAGATCCCCCTGTAACCAAGGCTGTGATCATGCTTGGTGGATCCTGGGGAGGGCTGTCTGGGTGTGGCTGATCCCAGCATCCCACCATATCTCCCTGGGATCCTCACTGCATTTCTGGTTTAAAGAGGCCAATGGAACCCCCAATGATCAAAGTGTCTCCTAAAGGGGCACATAAACACATCAGCTGCTCAGACATGGTCAGGAAAATTGGGGCTCAACAATCTAGAGCCCCCCACCTTGCCCCACCTACTTTTCTATGTCCACCAAGATGGACTCCCTACCCCCACCCCAGCCTGTCTCCTGGAAGAGTCAGCCATAGGCACCTGCCTTGGAAATTGTTCGGACACCACAGGGGGCTGAGGTGGGTAATAACATCCCACGCAGTGGAGACACCTGTCCTCAAGGACCAAAAAGATGATGGATGGTCCTGACTCAACTCCTTGTTGCTTGCTACTGTCTGGTGCCATGGAAAACCAGGAGTCAGAGCTGTGTTTAATTGTGGACCTGGCCGAGTCCACATCCTACTCCGAATTCATCTTGTCATCTGTGGGACAGGGTTCCGAATTCTCCCGTTGGAAGGATGCTTGGGAAGACAGCCAGGCATCTGCTTTTGCAGGGATTGCCCAGTACCAGTGGGGGCTCCTGGCCGGCACCAGCAGGGGCTCCTGGGCTGCTACGTCCTTGAGTTGGCTTCTCTCCATCCTGGGCTTCAATTCTAACTTTAACTCTTCTTCCACGGCTTGGCAGACCACGTGACCTCTGTATTCAGCTTCCCGGGATCTTTTAGCAGGTATGATCACATGGCCGGATCTGGCCAGTGAAATGGGAGTGGAAGCAACACACACCATTTCAGGGCAGAACTTGAAGAAGGCATGACGGTGGACCAATGTACATCTCCTCCCTGGGACATCTCATCTTGGCTGCCCAGAGTGAGATGGCTTCATGAATAAATTGAGATCATACGGCAGACACCTTCCCCGGTGGAAGCCATGGTGATCTGGGAGTCACATCTGGCTGACACCCACCACCAAGTGGTTAAACTGTTCAAAGTGGTCACTCTGAGCTCTTTTTTTTTTTTTTTTTTTTTTGTCTTCAGTAGCTGCAGGGAGAGCTGGTAATGGACACAGTGCAAACACTGTGCCTCAGACTGGCTGTGCCCTATCAATGCTCCATAGACACCAGAACATCTAGTGTTTCTCTTGCAGACCAGCCTGCCTTCACTTGGGTTATCTCATCCTCTTTACTGTGAGCATGTGGGTCCAGCCTGAGGTGATCAGGTCTATGTGGCCTTGGTGAAGCTTTCAAGGAAGCCCCATTAAGTCACTTGGGACCTTCTCCTCCCCACCCCTGCCTGCTTCCTGTCACTCACCTACATATAAATGGATGCTATTCCTAGAGGGTCACATTGCCCCTCGCTCCACACTGACCACAGTGTCACTGACTCAGTTTTCTCAGCGTGAGAGTCACACCAGAGAACCATAGGTGCCTCTACTCTTGTCAGAGACCATGCCAACTCCTTCCATTCCCTGGACTTTCCCCTCTCCTACAATGGGATGTGCTGTGGGGTCTGTGGCAGCCCACAGTGCTGGCCTAAGTGATGAATGGCCACTGTCGGCTCAAGATTCTTTCTTCTCCAGATGAATGGCATCTTCTGCCAGTATCATCTTGGCTTCTTCATGCGAGGTAGACAGCAGGTGCTCAGTAAACCCTGCCTTTACTTTTAAGTTGGTGGCCCAGTGGGGTAAAGGAAAGACAGACAGGACTCTAGTTGTGGTGAGTTCTTCTGTGGACTAGCTCTTAGGGATCCTAGCAGGGAAGCCATGAGTCTGGAGGGGCCTCCCCGACCCTCTCTCCTGGGGCTGGGCTGCAGCCCGTCTCCTACTCTCTGTAGACTCTGAGATGACCCTTTCCTTCTCAAAAGATGGGGCTGCCTCCCTCCCAGGATGTGAACAAAGGAAGCTGTGAAGGCCACCTCTTTATTCATTACTGCCCTTTAACCAGTTTGCACGAGCTGAGGGTGAGAGGGTTGGAGGGGAAGGCGGAGTGTCTGGGGGCAGACTCTCCTGGAAATCACAGATGCATACTGCTCAGGCGGGCTAGACTGGAGAAGCAATTTAACAATGAACCCTACAGAGTGAGAAACGCACAAAGTGGTCAGGTGGCTGCCAAATGGCATCTCGCCTCCCCATGGGGGTCAGAGTCACACACATCAGTCTTGCAAAGGTCCTGGAGTTGACCTAGGAGCCGCAGAATCTTCCCCGGGGACAGGAACAGTCCTGCTCACCCAGCAGATGGGCCAATGCACAGGCACACGGGTGTGTGCCCAGGTATCGTGGCTCCTCTCAGGCTCCATGGCTCCTCAGGTGCCTCTTCCTCTATGTCCTTCCCTTAAAGGTGTTCATGCAGGTATATGTCCCTGAGAACCTGTGGATCTCCTCCAGTGCAGCCTGTGGGAGTATGCTGAGGGGAGATGGGCAGACGGTTAGCAGGGTGGTCAAAGGTGGTGGGGCCAGTGATGGTAATGCCAAGCAGGGTATAGACAAAGGTTTTAGAAGCTCTCCCGTCTCCTCTGCAACCCACACCCCAGCTCCCGACCTCCGAGAAGGAACACTTTCACTAGGTAAAGGGCCGAGCACAGGAACAACAGACAGGCTGTGCGCTCCGGTGCGCTTTCAATGTGTTCCGGCCCTTCCAAGATGCAAGCTGAAACTTGACTGTCTTTGTGGTGAGACAGAGGTGGCTGGGTCATGAGGGGATCCGCCCAGTCATGGATTAATGGACAGCCTGAGTGACTCTATTATTGAAGCCAGCTCTCTGGGTATACTTGCTCTGTCCTTTATGGGGAACTCTCTGTCATGTCATGAGGCAGTAGGAAGGCCCTTGCCAAATGCTATGTCAGTCATACTCTTGGGTGTCCCCAGCCTCTAGAACCCCAAGATACATGCACTTCTGTTTTTTTTTTTTTTTTGTCTTGTTTTATTTTTAGTAATGTGGATGTCTGTGCGTCTGTTTGTGCACGTGAGTGCAGTTGCTCACTGAGACCAGAAGAGGGCATTAGATCCCTGAAAGTTGTGGTTAACAGGAGGTTGTGAGCTGCCAGATGCAGGTGCTGGGAAGTGAACTCTGGAAGAGCAAGGGTTTTTAACCTCTTGCCATCTCTCCAGTCCTCTTTCAAAGAAATCTCTCTCTCTCTCTCCCTCTCTCTCTCTCTCTCTCTCTCTCTCTCTCTCTCTCTCTCTCTCTGTGTGTGTGTGTGTGCTGTATACATTCACCTGCTGCAGTGCACATATGAAGGTCAGACATGGGTACCAGGGATCAAGTTCACATTCTCATGCTCTCACAGCAAGTGCTTTTCCATCTGAGCCATCCCCAGAGTTCAGGAGCTTGACGCCTGCTCTTCTAGAGGATCCCTCAAGCAGTCAGAGAGCATCTTGGACTGAAGGTCAGGGTATGCTGGGACAGTGTGAGTGCTCCAAGTGCTCTCTCCCCAGCTCTCCACTCTCCACCCTCTGCTTGCACGGACACTAGCAGAGTGGAAGACAAAGGGCTGGTTGCCACTGTTCCCTTAGTCACACATCCAAGGGTGGAGTTTTTCTGGGAGTCAACATTTGATGATAACAACAGCCTGGAACAAGGGGCTGCACTCCGTGAAAAGCAGGAGCCACAGTTATGGCTGCAGGGACACAGGCCTCCCGCTGTATGGAGAGCACACAGTTACGTGCACTGATAGTCCCTTCAGCATGAGGCCCAGATGCAAGGCCTTGCTGTACCAAGTCTGGACACTTGTAGGTGAATTCAGTGCTGGGAAAATTCTCGAGAAGAAAGTATCTACACTAGGAATCCCACCTCCCTAGGTGGTCTTCCCTGGTAAACCCCAACCCCCTCGAGCTATAACCCATCTCCAGATTCTGAGCCTTAGGCATGAAAACTTCTGCCGCCATTAGACTGAGCTACCTGGGAGCTGGAGCTATTCCTGACAGTCTGCAGAGCAGTGGTTCTTAACAATGTGGTCCAGGAACTCCTGGGAGTGCCTGAGATCTTTCCAGGATACTTATAGTAACACTGCAGTGTGGTTTGTTTTTCTCCTTCTTCCTTCTTTTTTTTTTCCTTTCTCTATTTCTTAGCAGTCTTGTAAAAAAATATCACCCAGGCTAGCCTCAAACTATGCAGGATAACCTCATACTTCTCATCCTCCTGCCTCTACCTCCCACACGCTGGGATTATAGGCGGGAGCTATCACACGTGCTTCCTGCAGTGCTGAGGACCAATCCCAGGGCATGCTAGGCCAGCTCTCTACCTATAGAGCCACATCCCCAGCCCATGGTTCATCTTTTATCCTTTTATTTTCTCTGCACGTGTGGTAGAGTTTCCCAGGGGTTCTGCTACAGGGGACTACCCCAACTGACTGAAATAAGAAGCAGATGTAAGAATCTAGTTGTTTCAGATTAAACCAGACAATGGAGAGATCTGCAGGAACTTAACCCAGCATCTCTCCCGGCTACTTGTCTGTGTTTTTTTAAAAAGTAGAATTGCTTATTACAAAAATATATTTATGAGTTGAGGCTAGATTGGGATACCTAGTGATATCCTATCTAAAAAAAAAAAAAAAACTAAAAAGGCAAACAAACAAAACAGTCATGATAATAGTTCTGTTGCTGCCCTCTTTAGATGAAAAATATTGTGAATAGAAACTAATTCATAAATCTAACTTCCCCTCTCAGTTTTTATTTCTAATGCAGTAAGCAGTGATAGATAAAACTCACACAAGCAAGAGCTGTTTGGATCCCTCAAACTTATAATCCTCATACTTATAATCCCAGTACTAGAGAAACAGGAGAATTGCCAAGTTCAAGGCCAGCCTAAGTTTTATAGTGTGTTCTAGATAAGCCTGAGCTACAGTGAGCTCTGCCTCAAAAATAAGGAAAAAATAAAAACAAACCTCACAGAGAGCCTTAGACCAACAAGTCTGCGTTACTGGTCAGTACAGTCAGAGAGAGGTGCTACTCCTCAACCTCCTGCTCTGTGCAGACATGACTAATCAATTTTACATTCACTTTCTCCTGCCTGTCGCCTTTTGTCCACTAGGGCCCACTGGAGTCAAGTAAAAAGTTGGACCTGAACCTGGGTGAAGAACTCTCCCCCGCCCCCATACCTTTTCAAGATGACGAGGATATTCATGGTCCATGGGAGCAGGAGGAGGGCCTGGTTTTGTTGTACAGCTTCCACCGTCCTCCGGGCTACTGTCTCTGGCTTCAGCGGTGGGAAGAGGTTGGGAAACCTGGAGGCAGGAAAATACTGGTTTCTCCTGGAGAAGTTGGCCTTTCTGCTGGGCACCTTGGTGAGTGGCTAGTGTTTCTGAGGGCATCACTTTGGCTCTTCTGTGTGAGGGACTCGAGGCTGTGGGATTCTCTCCCAGTCCATGCCTGTTAAGAGTTCCTGGATCCTGCCCCACCACATGAATGGAGTCTGCCCACCAGCAGGGGGCATCTCTGACAGAATCAAGGAATTAGTTTACCCTGCCAGATTCACTCTCCAAAGTCCTGCAGGGCTCCTGGGACTCACATTGAACACCCTCCACATTTTAAAGCATGGGCCAGCCCTCAGCTTTCTTACTCTGCAATCTTTCCTCATCAGCCATTCCCATAGACTGCTCTCAGGTCTCCTAGGTCCTCCCCTGAGAGACTGCTCCGCCTCCCTCACCGCTGGGTGACCTCTGATCTTACCTCTTCCTTTCTAGTTGCCTTAACCACAACCACAACTGCATCTAGAATGACCTTGCTTGTCAGGTTGTTCCTTGACAAGGGCCTGTCTCCTCCATCAGGTTATGAGTCCCCTGAGGGTGGAGGCCCAGTGACTCTCACTCCCTGTTGCATCCTCAGCATCTAGTAGGACCTGATACACAGCAGAAACTCAATAAATACTTTGTCATCTCGCCCCGCTCCTCTACTGGGCCTTTCTGATTGGGAGGTCCTCAGTCTGCTGGCTCCCTAGCCGGTCAGTCAAACACAAAGTGGCTTTCCATGGGACTTCCAGATGAACATGCAGTCAAACAGGGGCTTCCCATGCCTGTTCAGAGGAATCTGACCCCAGACCTGTGCACCCACTGTGTTCCCTAAGTATCGGGCCCATGCACAAATATTCTCTCCAATTTATGGATACGGAAACCATGAAGCAGGGGCAAACCTGTGAGCCCCTGGCACTACTCCAGTGACTCTGTTCTGGCTCTTTCTGCTTTCCCCAGTCTGAAGGTACAGGGCATGTGCTGCCGGCCCTGACCCCTGTCTCTCAAAGGCCTTATGAGTCACTGTGGTACCAGTAAGATTATGAGTGATGAGTCATCAGCCATTCCTGAGCAAGGGGCGGCCTTGGGCTCACTGACTGCTGCCTTTCCTATACCTCCTCAGTTATGTGACAAATGCAACTTTGGTTTGTTTGTGTGTGTGCAAATGTGTGTTTGTGCACAAGTGTCTATGTGTGTGCAGGTACATAATATGTCCACGTGTGGAAGGCAGAGGTCAGCCGTCAGTGTCATTCCTCAGGATGTCATTCCACTTTGACTTTTTACAACAGGGTCTCTCATTGGCCTAGAGCTCCACGACTTGGCTAGCCTGACTGGTCAGCAAATCCCTAGGGCTTTGCCTGTCTCTGCCTCCACAGTGCTGGGGTGCACACTGTCTTTGCCTGGACTTTTATAAACGTGGGTTCTGAAGATCAAACTCTGCTGACTAGGTTGTCTTTTCCAGACCAAGATAGTGACTCTCAGATACTGAACCTGTAGCCTAGGAGGGTTGGCCTTGGGTTTTTCAAAGTGACACGTGCTGAGGTAGCTCACTGACTGCAAGTCCAGTGGCATGGTGGCATATCTGTAATCCCCAGCCTTCACCTGTGTCCAGCACTGCTTCTAGCAGGGAGGAGACAGGACAGCAAGAACCAGCTATACCGGCTTTAGGGGACCCTTCCAGGTAAGACCCTTGCAGAAGGACCTGATGGAGAGGCCTCAAACCTGTTAAAATTTCCCCCTTCCTCTCCATAGTGGGTAGGATGACAACAAAGGACACTGGGAAGTGACTAGAGAAGCCTGCTCAGCTGGCCCAATTCTAGCTGTGTTGTCTCATATAGACACTCATACAGTTCCTCTATCTGTGAAATGGGTTTATAGCTCATTTGCCAGGCTGCTGGGAGGGCCAAAGACAACAACTGTGTATTGGAAAGGAAGTGTCTAGTGTGGCTGGAATACAGAATAAGTCAGTAAAAGAGAACGGTGGCACCCTCGGACACAGCCAGTCTTGCTGGATGTCCACCTGTCGGTCCTAACCTGATCACCAGGGAAATTGCTAAGATGGCTGCAGAGCAAAACCAAGGCTTTTCTTTCTTCCTTTTTCTTTCAATAAATAGGAGCTGGTTAAGCATAGCTCTTCTGGTCAAGCCCTTGGCTCTCACCTGCACAGCTATAGGTAGCTGGCATCCACTCAGGGCTCACAAAGCAGTCATAGCCAGTCAATTCCCACACAGGTTCTCCCCCAACTTGTGAAGTAGAAGGTGCTATTAGCAATCACTTTTAAATATATAAACAGGGAAACTGAGGCACAGAAAAGTCAAGTCACCTGCTGGAGGCTACACAGAACTAGGATTTGATCCCAGGACATCTGGATAGTCTTGAGTATAACCTCCTTGAAATTGAGAATGTATGATAGTTTGTTAGTAAGTCAGGTAGAAATATCTGCTTCTGGATAAACTCTAAAGAGACTGTCTTCTAGGAAAACTCATTAAGACCATATTTATTCTTGGTAGAAAATAACAGCCAGGAGTAGTGGTGCACTGTTCTAACGCCAAACACTCAAGGGGCTGAGGCCAGAGATCACCATGAATAGAAGGCCACCCTGGGTTACAGATGAGATCCTGTCTCAAAAAAAAATAAAATAAAATAAAATAAAAAAAATAAAACAACAGGGGAAGCGTCTCTGTTATGAGCAATTTGTGTGCCCTAGGGTTTGTACTCGGTATGCTGCATTCATTATTAGTCCTCATTTTACCTGCAATCTATCTGGTAAATACCATTCCTATCCATTTTATGGATGAGCAAAGCACAACTCCAAGAAGTAAACAAATGTTCCCTTAAATTGGGTGTGTAATGTGTCGTGACACGTGTTCCCCATCAATGCCATTTATTGCTTGTGATTTTATAAACTGGCAGTGAAGCTTGGCATCACACAGCACATGACAGCCATAGGAAGATGCCACCCCAGGTCTTGGCATTCAAACCTGAACATTAAGCCGAGGTCACATTCTTCTACACAAGATGGGTCTGTAAGTAGCTTGAGTAGTGGACTTTGGGGTTTCTTCACATGGGGGCTATAATTTGTATTTATTAATTTAAAAAATACTTGTGTGTGTGTGTTTGTGCCTATGTGTGATGTGTGCGTGTGTACACACTGTGTGCCCATGTGTCACAGAACGCCTGTGGCAGTCAGAGGACAGCTTGCTGGAGTCAGTTTTCTCCTTCCCCCATGTGGGGCCCATGGATCACACGCAGACTGTCAGGCTTGGTAGACAGCACCTTTACCCACTGAGCCTCCTCACCAGTCCTGGCTCTATAAAAGGTTCACACCTTCAGCAAACAGCTCAATTAGCTTTCACTTGTTTAGCCAACACCACTACGAAGTTTCCTGGGGCTCCCTCCCAGGCTCTATACCATTGATCCTGTCTCCAGCACCATAGTTTTGCCTGGCTCTGAATGCCGTGTACTTGGGACCGTGCGGAACGTGCTAGTGTGGCTTCTTTCGCTCAGCACCATGGACGTGAGCTTCATCACACAGGTCCCACATGACTCACTTCCTTTCTTTGTTGTTAGGTAGTATTCCACCGTGCACATCCAGCACTGGTGTTCTGTGTAAGCTCCTGCAGTGAAAAGCAGGGTCCTAAGTGTGGGCAGTCGCTCTTGGACCGAGCAAAATGGAGACTGAGCTGGGCACCAGCTTTGCCTCTCTCTGCTTCCTTATAGTGGATGCGATGGGACCAGCTGCCTCATGCTCCTGCCACTGTGAATTCCTACCAGGACAGACTGTACCCTTTTACTGTGAACCTCAAAAAGCCTTGCCTTTCTTAAAGCTGGAGAAGTAACTGATACAGTGCAGTAATAGCCTGTTGCCCCGTGAGTGGAAAATGATGTCTGAGAGTGTCACCAAGGCCAAGGGATTCTGAGGCTCTTCCTGTAAAGCTGGGCTGGCTCAGGAGAGGTGGCTGGTGTCACCCACTGACCTGACTCGCATGCCCTGGAACATCTCAGTGCTGGTGTGAAAGGGCAGCACGGTGGTGGCACTGACACCAGGACAGTCCAGCAGCCCCAAGGTCAGGCTCTCCATGAAGGCGAAGGCGGATGCTTTCGATGTGCAGTAGTCGATGGCTCCAGGGATGGCCGACAGTGCAAGCACAGAATTGAGGCACACGATATGGCCGTTCTGCAGCTCCAGCATGCGTGGCAAGAAGGCCTTGGTGGTCTGAGGGTGGGTAACAGAGGTCAATGTGGAGCAGTGCGGCTCCTGCCAAGCCCTGCACCCCTGCACTGGGGAGAACAGCCCACTCTAGATGCATAGCTACCCTAGTGACTTAGCCTTACAGTATGGAGGGGCTGAGGCTTCCCTGCTACAGAGCACTACGTTAACCAGTCAGAAGTTCCAGTGTCTCCCCGTCAGTCAAAAGTTCCTATGTCTCCCCGTCAGTCAGAAGTTCCTATGTCTCCCTCCAGTCAGAAGTTCCTGTGTCTCCCTCCACTCAGAAGTTCCTGTGTCTCCCTCCAGTCAGAAGTTCCTGTGTCTCCCTCCACTCAGAAGTTCCTGTGTCTCCCTCCAGTCAGAAGTTCCTGTGTCTCCCTCCACTCAGAAGTTCCTATGTCTCCCTCCAGTCAGAAGTTCCTATGTCTCCCGCCAGTCAGAAGTTCCCATGTCTCCCCGACAGTCAGAAGTTCCTGTGTCTCCCTCCAGTCAGAAGTTCCTATGTCTCCCTCCAGTCAGAAGTTCCTGAGTCTTCCTCCAGTCAGAAGTTCCTGTGTCTCCCTCCAGTCAGAAGTTCCTGTGTCTCCCTCCAGTCAGAAGTTCCTGTGTCTCCCTGTCAGTCGGAAGTTCCTATGTCTCCCTTTTATCTAGCCATTTTGCCTTGGAACATCCCTACTAGTGTGAGCCCTGGTCCCAGTGTACTTCTCTTTTCCCTCACCCCACCCAGGCTTCCTGTCATACCTATGGCTGGCTCTGGGCCAGGAAAGCCCTTACCCAGAATTGGCCCAGGGTATTGACGTGCTGGGACTTGAGGAGAGCATCATCATCACTGTCCATCAAGCTCTTTCCATGGACCACAGCAGCGTTGTTCACCAGGATGGTGATGTCACCCACCTGTGGGCAAGAGGGGGCTGTGGAGCCGTGAGGGCAGCCAGTCCCTATGGGCTGTACCTGTAGGGGCACAGACCAGGCTCCGCAACCACCAGCCACATGGCCTTTCTGAGCATCAGTCTTGTTTATAAATGGCGCTGGTGCCATACCAGCTGTGTCTGAGGATTAGAAATAATTTATGGTACATACTATACCCAGAACGTAGCATATTTATAATAAATGAGGTTATGGGCACATAAAAATGGTAAATGTCACTATGCATGGGGTATGTAACAAGGTGAATTCTTTTCTTTCTTGGTGCTCACTGATTTACCCAGCCCAAATGTCTTAGATTAGGGAAAGGATTTTCCCAGAAGGCAATGAGACATTTGTCTTTGAGAGAAACTCATAGGGTCTAAATGTCTAAAGGACTATAGAGGTCTACTCTTATTGTGTTATCAGCCCCAGTCCCTGCCCTAGTAACTTGGACATGCTTCATGGAGAGTCCCCAAAGGTGACCTGTACAAAGCCAGTCTACCATAGCAACACTCCCTCCCAGGCCACATGAATTCAGTATGCTGGGGCTAGATGTGTCCAGGCTACTGACCTTTTCACGGACAGCTTTGGCCATCTGGTATACCTCTTCCCGGTTGCCCACATCACAGATGAAGTAGTGGCACTCTGTGCCCATCTGCCGAATCTCCTCTGTTGTCTCTTTCAGGCATTTCTCAGTGCGGCCCCAGAGGACAATCTGGAAGGAAAGAAAACCAGCATGGAACCAGTGGCTCTGAAACGGGCTGTATCAGTGTAATGACTGCTACCAGGAGTTTTAGTGGGCTTTAAAATGCTGGCTTCCTCGGTTCCATCCCAAAATAAAGTAACTAAAACAAATCAACTGTGAGCTATAAATAAAACATTAGTTATTATTGTGTGTGTGTGTGTGGGGGGGTGTACCACAGAGCATGCCTGTGCATGGGTGGAGATGAGAGGGCAACTTTTAAGAGCTGATTTGTTCCTTCTGCTGTGGGTTTGCGGATCAAACTTGGGTTGTTAGGACTGTGGTTACCTGCTAAGCCATCTTGCTAGCTGTCTTAGTTAGGGTTTCTATTGCTGTAATGAAACACTGTGACTAAAAGCAACTTAAAGGGTTTATTCAGCTTACACTTGCAAGTAACTAACAGTCTATTACTGAGGGAAGTCAGGACAGGAACTTACTCAGGGCAGGGATCTGGAAGCAGGAGCTGATGCAGAGGCTATAGGGAGGTGCTGCTTACTGGCTTGCTCAGCCTGCTTTCTTACAGAACTCTGAACCACCAGCTATCTCAGGGGTGGCATAACCCACAATGGGCTTGGCACTCCCCCATCAATCACTAATTTAAAAAAAATGTTCTACAGGCTTGTCTACAGACCAAGTTTATGAAGGCATTTTCTCAATTGGGGTTTCCTCCACTCAGATGACTCTAGCATGTGTCAAGCTGACATAAAATTAGCCATCACAGTGGCCAACAATGAGGATTTTTTTTTTCAATTTTTACTTTTATTGTCAGTGTGAGTGTGTGCGTACATGGGCACGTGCCTGTATGTGGGTATGTGTACAATGAGTGCAGGATCGAACAGAGATCAGAAGAGGGCATCAGATCCCTTGGAGCTCAAGCTACAGATTGCCCAGAACTTAGGTCCTCTGGAAGAGCAGCAAATTCTCTTAATCACTGAGCCATCTCTGGGCTCTAACAAGATTATAAAAGGGACATCACCGACTCTTAAATGAGCCAGCGGTTTTGGAGCACACTTATGGCCAGTCAGCTGGTATGTTAGTTCAAGTCTTTCTGATCTATTCTTCCTAGCAGGGCACCTCTTGCCAGCCCAGTTATAGCCTTCTCCATGATTCTTAGAAGCAACAGGAAAGCTTTTTGGACACTATTCTGGAATTCTGTTAGGAACCAGCTGGCCTTCTCACCAATTATGTTTAAAGCTGGGATTATTCCCGCCAGCCACTAGGAAGGATGAGGTCACATTCTTCTTCTTCATGGCCTTGGGGGCTTCCAGCTCACTGTGGTCACACTGGGAAGGATGTAAGGAGGGACAGGGGAGGGACAGTGAGACTCCTGCTGAGAAGCAGGGGCTCCCTTACTCAACAGGTAATAAGTAGGAGTGACCCAGTGACTTTGAGAGGACCTGTGAGTGGGTGCTTAGAGGGGTTGGGCAGGTGTATTACTGGTCTACAGGATGCTAGGCATTGAAGCCTGGCTGGTCCTTAGCCTTAACCTGAAGGAGGACAATACATCTCCCCATTCCAAAGAGTCCGAGTTTGGGTGCCTGGGGACCTAGCTGCCCTGAGATACAGCTTTATGGTACAGAGGTAGAACTAGGGAACCACAGCATCCAAGAACATCAGGGCTCCAGCAAGGGTCTGCATTCCTTTCTTTCTTTTTTTAAGATTTAAAAAAATTCTTACTTTGTGTATGTGTCTGATGTATGTATGTGCACCTCATGCAAGCCAGTGCCTGTGTAGGCTGGAAGAACACATGATCCCCTCTGTAACTAGGTATAGGTGATTGTAAAGCTCCATATAGGTGCTGGGAACTGAACCTGGGTCTTCTGCAAGAGCAGCCAATTCTCTTAACCGCTGACTCATCTCTCCAGCCTCAGATCTACTTTTCTTTTCTCTTTAAAATCATCAACGAGGGGCTTGATATCACTGTGAACCCCTGTGGCTTTCTTAGCACAAATAGGTGTGCAGAAGCTTCCATCAAAAGGAGCCCGGGTGATCCATGGTCTCGATGTTTCTGGGTCAGGGTTTAAGGCTTGCCATGCTCTGCTCAGAATATTTGCAATCAGGAACTGGGGAGAGCAGCCCTGTCCACTGGGCTGGGAGACAGCCCCAGAAAGGGGGATAACGGTGGTCAGGCAGGTGAGATGAAGGCCTGTGTGCACCGTCTCTTGTGAGTAGGTGAAGACCACAATCAGAACCCTGGTCCTCTTGAAGTCACCCCTTATGTACCAGCAGAGTGGCTCTTTCTCTCTCCCTAGTACCAGGCTACGTGTCTCTGTGAACCTGGAGTCCCTAGGACCTAATTCTGTTCTATTTATCTTAAGATCTCAATGCCTGCCAAAGCACATGTCTGTTGGATGAGTGAATACATGTGAAGGGCCAAAATTGGGGCAGTACGGGTGGGTGTTTAACTTCCTCTAAAGACTGAAAGATTACCCATCCTCTCTGTGCCTGAGCTAATTGCAGACCTAGAACCTTCCATATATGGGTCTGTGTGGACCAGGAGACAGTGGGATCTGGGGTTTCCCAGAGCACCTACCCTAAAAGGCTGAGCTGAGGGGAGGCTTGCTGGGGCTGGAGTGTACAGGAAAGGAGCTAGCCATGGTGCTGGGCAAAGGTGAGCTCCAGGGGACAGGTGCATCTCTCTGTCAGGTGTGTGTCTGTGTCTGAGTGCTAGTACCTCCAGGCCCATCTGAGTGTGCACCTGGGTGTCTGTAAGTGCAAGTATGCATTTGTGTGTCTATGAATGTATTCATATCCATGAGTTCACAGCTGTGGATGTCTGTGGGTCAGTGAGCATGCTCTGTGGGTATGGATCTGTGAGCCTGGGCCTATGAGCCTGCATCTGTGAACAGGTCTGAACATAGGTGTGCTTCTGTGAATGTGTGCAATCCTGTGTGCTTCTGTCCCCAGGTCCTCTGGTGGACACACATAGGTCTTCGGATAGGACACCCTATGTCCATCTGTCCTTATGAACCAGCCCTCATCTCTGTGGTGATTGCGGCTCCAATGCGGTATGGGAGAGGGCTTGAAGGCACATGACTACCTGGGTGAAGCTGCTCTAGCGACAGGCTTCTCCTGGAGTCCTGCTGGCTCTCAGGGAATCTGTGTCCCTGTGAGGTGCCCTGCATACAGGATGTCTGCCCCAGTGGCTCTGCCTCAGTCCTCTGGGTAACCACAAGTGTTGACAGGTCCTGTCCAAGACCAGATGCGAGACAAAGGTGTCAGGGAGAGGTGAGGTTTGAGGGAGAGTGGGTAGGGCCCTGGGGGAGGAACAGTCCTGGAAAGAGGTCCAGTCTCCTCTCAATCCCCTGGCTGACCAGCTGGCAGGGTCAGGCTAGCCTAAGCTTATGAAGTCAGGACTGGGTTCTCTACATCTCTTGGCCTCCAGTCTTCTGTGAGGTGAGACAGTGGTTCTTTTTGTCCCCTTCCCACTGCAGGTGAGCAGGAGGAGGAGAGAAAGGGCCTTGGCCCCGGGTGTGGACTGTCAGCGAGGGCCTGCCCTGTTTTGCCTTACTGGCATCTGCTGGTCTCAGCAGCAGAAGCCCTTCTCATCTCTTGGTTAGAGACTTCCATCAGCCACTTTCTGTCCTGGGGACCTGAGGCTTAATGAATTACATCAGGTGTCCAAAGCCACACCTGGTGGGAGATGGAGGTGGGATCTTAACCCAGCGTCTGCTCTCTGCTGGTACAGCCTTGAGGCGTGGCAGCATGGGTTAAGCAGTTCCCACCTCAGGAGTCCATCCCAGTAAGGAAGGCTGAGGGATCGAGGAAGTGTCACTCACAAGTGAGGGTAAGAGGGTAAAGAATAAGCAAAGGTACCTAGGGGATCTGGGAGCTAGCCATACTGTGACTATTCATAGAAGAGGGAGCTGTAGCTCACAGAGGCTAAGCACCTTGTCTGAGGCCATACACTGAGTGACAGAGCTCACATTTGAGCATCAGTATTGTCTGGCTGCAAGCACGGGCGGCCAGTGACAACTGCTATTCTCCATCCTAAGTTCAATTCCCCAGTACTACTGAAATGAAAGACCAAAACCAAAACCACTGTGTATGTCCCCTCCCAAGGCCCCAAGGGGGCTCAGGGTGCCCACTGAATATCTTGCAGGCTCACTCTGCTGGGATTTCACTGGGGAGGAAGGGCAGGCAAACCACACATCACCCTTGACACACTCTATAGTCACTCGAGAAACTGGTATGTTATGGCCAGGAAAGAAGTTCAGGGTTCAGGGCACAAACAAAAGGGGAGCAGCAAGGAATAACCCAGAAAAGCCCACTCCTGACACCTCAGCAGGTCAAGGAGCAAGTGACTTTGGGGGGACCCCAGAGGGAAGGGTCGTGCTTGGTTGCTACTCAGTTCTTGACATCTGTTTATGGGGAAAATCGCTAACGAACTAAGGTGACTTCCGATCTTAGAAACCAGAGGCTGGTGAGAGGGCTCAGCTGGTAAAGGTGCTGGCCACCAAGTCTGACAACCTGAGTTCGATCTCGAGGACTCACATGGTGGAAGCAGACAACGGACTCCTTCAAGTTGTCCTTTGACTTCCTAACATGGTCTGTGTCACCCTCCCCCCTACCCCACGTAAAAATCAACAACAACAACAACAACAAAAATCCAGAAGTTAGGTGTGATGGTACACACCTGTAATCCCAGTTCAAGGCCAACCTGGGCTACACAGTAGGACCCTGTCTCAAAGCAACACAGGTAACAATAAGAACAGAAGCAAAACGGAAGATGTAACATAAACTTCCCCACGGCAACTCAGCATCAGTAACCCCTGCCTAGCCTCAGCCCTACCAATACCTGTCCAGGGCCTCCACTCAGGGCCTCCAAAATGGCTTATTTGTCGTCTCTCACCATTATTCTTTAAAACAGGAAGGCTCTTTGCAAACTCCTATTCATCCTGCAGAGCACGGTCTGAATGTCCCCTTCAGTTCCAAAGCCTCTCTGGCTGTCCCTTCCACCCTTCCTACAACAC